TGACACTTGCAACCCATAAACCAAAAAGTGGACACATGGCATCGACCATGCAACTAGTCACAACACTCAAAATCGTTTCAGAGTCCCCCAACAACACCTTGAGAAGATGGGAGAAGAGTTTTGTGCCAAATATATCAAGTGGCTTTGTTTGCATATGATCTTTAATCTGCTGCTTTGCTCAAAACCACAGCTGGTTACTTGCACAATTATCAAGTCCCTGCCAGGATTTCCTGGTTCCCTTCCCTTCAAACTTGAAACTGGGTGAGTCATCTGCTACTCAATAGTGCTCATTCCTCTTTCAACGCCTTCTGTTTTCTTTGTTGAATTTACAAATATTTTGGAATAAATTAATCCATGAATTTGTAAGATCATGCCAAATTAATCTCAGCAAATTTCAAATATATATCTGTGCGTGTGTGTGTGTATATTGTGGAAGCAAAATATTCACATATATATATATATATATATATATATATGGCCTTGGTGATGGGTTTCAGGTATATTGGGGTTGATGAGAAAGAAGATGTGCAGCTCTTCTATTACTTTGTTGAATCTGAAAGAAACCCAAGGGATGATCCTCTTATGCTCTGGCTCACTGGTGGTCCTACTTGCTCTGGTCTATCTGGGCTTGCTTTTGAGATAGGTTTGTACACCAAATGCAACTTAGACTAATGTGCTACTATATTTCTATGACTTTTTTATTTTTGCTTCTTTTGTTGTGATTTATCATTTGATTAATGTGAAAGTCTGATGCTTTAGTCTAGTATCCATGTTATACAGAATTGGCCTCCAACAAATTCTGTACATTGTTTTTTTGCTGCGAATCTAAAGCGGCAATCATAAGATAGTAGAGATTGTGAATCTGAACGACACATCACACACTCATAGGAATAAAAGTCTACCTAGTACTAATAGTAGTCTAGAATGAGAGTTTGAACATAAGAGCATTTCTCATAAAGTACAAGTTTTACTGTTCCAGAAAATAAAATAAAAAAGAATTATTGTAACTTTGTCTTTTTAAGCTTTCTCGATCACCTTTCCACTGAGTGACTGGTCTCCGACAAGTGCTTACCAGCTTCTAATTCCTTCACAATGAAATGCTTTCCATCTTAAATGAGCCTTACCCTCAGTCCGCAAGAAGCTTTTGACTAATTTGTGGTTTTGTGTAGGCCCTATGAAGTTTAACATGGTGGAGTATAATGGTAGCTTACCAACTTTTGTGATTAATCCCTACTCATGGACAAAGGCAAGATAAATTTCTGACCTGTTCAAATGTGCATGTTAACTATCCCTATTCTTGCACAACTGCTCTTCTCTTACTGCAATTTCCTAATGTTGTTTTCTGCATAATCGTGATGCATTAGGTTTCCAGCATAATATTTGTGGATGCACCTATTGGCACCGGGTTTTCATATTCAAGAAGCTCGAAAGGGTCCAGTGATACTTTCTTTGTTAATCATATTTATAGTTTCCTCAAGAAGGTAAATTAGCACAACAATTGCATTGAGATGATATGCAAACACAAGCACCCGGCATTATGCACAATAAGATGTTTCATGACTCTACTAAGATCTGTATCTAGTACAAAAGAGAATATTGTTCTTTACTAAAGCATTTATGTTATATGTTCATGAATTTGATTTGTGTGCATCGTCTTCTTCTTATTATGCAGTGGTCACTCTCTCACCCTGAATTCATTTCAAACCCAATCTACATTGCTGGTGACTCATTCTCTGGCATGATTGTTCCAGTTGTAGCTGAAGAAATAGCAAAGGGTGGTGACATATCAAACAATTTCTCAAATAATTAACTGTCGATGGACTTATTAACAAGCTTGCTATGATACTGCAGGTATTGAAGCCGGAAGCATACCAGAAATCAATTTCAAAGTATGTATTCTAGGACCAAACTTTGTTACTTCACCAGGAAGTTGAATTTTCTAAAGGGCGTAAGAACTTTTAGAAACTTTTCCAGGGTTATCTACTTGGGAACCCATCGACAGATATTAATATTGATGCAAATTCAAGGGTTCCATTTGCCCATCGCCTTGCACTTATATCAGATGAACTCTACAAGGTACCTAAAACAATCAATTATCTATATTCTCAAGTTCATCATCCATGAATGTAACGCATATAGTTTCCATCTATCTGCTTAGTTTGACTTACTTTTAATACGAATATTTAAGTGGCTGCACATTTTTCTTAGTCAGCAAAAAAGAGTTGCAGAGGACTGTACACAGGAATCAACCAAAGCAATAAACAATGTGCAATGGATCTCCAGGCTTTCTCAGTGGTGGGAACATTTTTACATATATATATCTATATATAAATATTTCTTTTTCCTATTCAAACTAGAATTATAATCTGTTTCCCTACATTTTATCCACATTGTTTATTAGATACCATTTTGTTTGCCTTTGTAGTGCACTGAAAAATTAAATTTTGGGCACATCTTGGAGCCTCAGTGTAGACCAAGCTCTAACGCAAATAGTAAGGACCACCAGAAGAATCTCCTGGAAAGCTCGGAAGGTTCGCAATTTAAACTCAACTCGATTCACCTGAGCCTTCATCCAAAACTTCAAGAGCCAGGACTTGGTTTTCCAAAATTTGGGTGCAGGGTAATTCTTCAATTTTCTATAGTACTTCCAATGAGCTAGGTGTTGTGGAAATGATGGCCCTTTTTACAGGATTACAAGAATTTGCTGATCCATGTTTGGGTGAACGATGATAATGTTCAAAAGGCGCTTCATGTTCACAATGTAAGAGAATGTTGAATAACTGTAAAGTAAACTCACTGTAGGAAATGCTTAACTCTCCATAGATGTGTGTGTGTGTGTGCTTGTCCGTGTGCGCATATTATACACAAAAATTCCGGCTGTAAACAAAAATTTATGACATTTCGTTTTACCTTTTGGGAATAAAACCAGAGGATTTTCTGGATGAGATGCAACAGCAGCAGCTTGCCGTACAGAAGATACTTCCAAAGTGTGGTTAGCTATCATCTATCTCTCAACACCAGAGGTTATCGAGCTCTAATATACAGGTTTTGCACTCATCTCTTCTCATGCAGTCGCCCAAAGTTTATCCTATGTGGTAAATACTAGGAATCGTTTCCCAATTGGTGACACGAACGAATGTAGTTGAAGTTAGATTTGTGAATTTCTGAGGTCTTTGAGAACTATATGTTTATGCAGCGGTGACCATGACATGTTGGTACCCTACCTGGGAACCCTTGCATGGATTAGGTCTCTGAACTTTACCGTCGTTCATCTATGGAGACCGTGGCTGGTTGATGGTGAAATTGCAGGGTAGGCTGAAAATGCATCACACGGTAGCTACATTTTGTAGCAGGTTTGAATTGAAATCTTGCTTACTGCTGTTGTTACCTGTGTGCAGATACTCAAGGAAACATTCAAACAACTTTACATTTGCAACTGTTAAGGTAAGAGTGCTTGTGAATTTCCTACACTAAGGTTCGTAGCGGAAATGATGGCCTAAATTATAGAAAATTGAATTCTTCATAATTTGTTGTTTCTGTGCAGGGAGGGGGTCACACAGCCCCAGAGTATAAGCCTAAGGAGTGCTTTGCCATGTTCAAAAGGTGGATCTCCCAAGACCCACTGTGACCACCCTTTCCAAAGTAGCAAATTTTTTAGTTACATAAGCACCTTTTGTTACCATGTTTCCATGTTATTTAATATTGAATTTGGATACAAATGTTCAATAAATTTTGTATATTTTATGTCTGTTATGTGGCGACAATGTAAGTAGAAGTTTTTTTTTTGGGTGTGTTTTTGATGAATTATTGTTGTATATGTGTCAAACTACGATTTACATGTAAGGAGGCAAGTAGTATCCTTGTTTTAACACTCCAAAATAGTCATCTGGCTTCGACCAAAAAAAAAAATAGTCATCTGGCACTCATTTCTCCCTCATTCTTTCATTAGATTTCAACCATAAAAATTCATTGAATTTAAAAGCTGCAGCAGAGTATAAGCTGGAAACCAGAGCTTAGAAAACAAAAGCCAAACTATAACTTCCAGAGAAACGATCCCAAACAGCGTGTCGTAAATCGTTTCTTCTTTAAAGCTAAGAACCAAGTAATTTCCGTGGTTTTTGGTTATTTTTTTCATCAAGATGCGCAGGGAAGAGAAGAGACGCAAGTTCAATGAAGCTGTCCTCAACACACTTTTCCCGCCTCCTTCCCCTCCATCATCACCACCGGTACACACACTCTCTCTCTCTCTCTCTCTGATCTTTTTTATAATTTTTCTGCAACTTTTTCATTGTAACTTAGGATAAAATCGTTTACAGCCAAAAGATGAGGACGTGCCATTGAGCATTTTACTTCAAGATTTTGAAGAAGACTTGGGGGAAAGTGGGTCTGCAACGACGAGCGGTGATGATGATGGTAATGGTGAAAGTGAGCCTCAGAGGCTTACAAGGGCTCAGCGGAAGAGACTCCGCAAGAAGAAGCTCAAGGAAGATGCTTCCCGCCGTAGGGAACTTATTGGGCCCCTTTTACCTCCAACCGTCGATCAAGGTGAAAATGAAGCTCAAGGTGTTCGATGTAATGCCTCTGAGGAACCTGATGCTGCTATCGTCGAGAAACCAGGTTAGAAATTTTTTTCATATTTGCTGTTGCGTTTTTTAAATTATGGGTTCTGTTTTTGACAATTTTATATGACGAAGTGGAAACTGAAAATTCACACGAGGCTGGGTTTGTTCAGGAGATGAGCCACCTGCTTGCAGTAATCAGAACAAGGTAAAGCAAAGGAGGAAGGCAAAGAAGCTGGCCAGGGAAAGAGAGCAAGATTGAAGGGCGGACAATTTTGCACTGTCAATTTTTTCTTACTAGAAGTTTGCACGGTCGTTAGAAAAAATTAGCTTACAATGTCACGAAAATGAATGATTGATGTCTTGGGATGACTTTATTATGATTTGTATACTTCTTTGGATACTGAAAATTGAAATGTATACCAAAATGATGCGCACAAATGCTTAAGCTCGGTTCTATAAAGGGTTGAGCTTCCAATGTTTCTCAACCCAATTTATTACATTCTAGGCTAAGTACATAGTAACTTTTTTTTGTTGTTGTTGAGAAAAGTACATAGTAACATTTGGATTTACAAGAATTACTGAAAATTTAAGCGGGAGATGCACTCGATACTTCTCTACACATCCCGAATACATGTAAATAATCATGCACGAAGAACCAGAAAGGGAAAATGTAGAAGTGAATTCTAAATATAAACTGGAGAATGAAAATGTCTGCATATTGCTAGACTAGCCTCATACATAACATGTCGGTACGTGACCGGAAATGATACTGGTCCGGGAATTATCTGCTACCTGCTACCGAAAAGTGACAGTAGTCCAGGAATTATCGGAAGCTTCGCATAGCGCATATACCATGAAGAGCCAGAGTTCCTATAATCAAGAATCAAAATATGAAACACCATCATAAGTTCCCAGCAAATTTAGATGTCATCATCTAGAAACAACTGCCCAGATACCTTTTATGTGTGAAGCTCCAACTTCTCAACTGAACAAATCCAAATCCATATTTTAGTCAGTCCTCAAATTGTCATCATCTAGAAACAACTGCCCAGATACCTTTTATGTGTGAAGCTCTAACTTCTCAACTGAACAAATCCAAATCCATATTTTAGTCATTTTCTTGTGTGCTATTTGGACCACAGTTTTAAGTCACAACACAACAAAAGGCAAACACACATTATAATGCTATGCTTGCTTTCATCATCACCTATGAAAAGTTGAAAATCATGCTGCCATCATGCATCGCTTGAAAAATCTAAAACCCACCAACAAACCAAACACCTTTGGCTTTTGCTCAGCTAAAAAGCTAATTAATTAATTAGGCAAACCCCAAAAGCAGAATAAGCAAAAGCAAAAGCACTTACGTACCTTTCTTTTTCAAAGTGACCCTATGATGACTTGAATTGATGGGCTAATCTTACTCGGACGGGTAATCAAACGGCACGGGAGAGACCGCACGATCCAGTGTGCTCGGGTGCACGTAACCGTATTTGCGAAGCACCTGATTCTCAGCGAAATTCAACGCTTTCTCCATCCCATCCCAACACGTATTCCCCGTGTACATCTCGTTGTGCCTCCCACTGCACGGCTGGCATCCGGTGAAGTGCGTGATGAACGGTCGCCTCCAGCTCCCTCTCCCGTACCCCGCCTCACTCAAATACTCCTCCCTAAACGCACCGTATTGCTCGCTCACCTTCTCCGCGTGCCGCCTCCTTAGACGCACCGCATTGTCCTCCTCCCCTCTCTCTATCTCCGCGTACCGGTCCTCAATCTTGTCAAGCGTCCCGACGATCTCCGCCCAGTACCCTTCGAAATAATACTCGCTTTCCAGATAAATCTTCTTCCCCCACTTTTCCTTCTCCTTGTAGATCAAGTAAGCGAGGCCCGTCTGATCGTCTGACTCCGGGAACGCCTTGTCCTTGAACGTTGACCGGAGGGTTTCTCCCCATTTCTCGTAGTCCGGGGTCTGTGGGCCCATGCTGGCCCACACCTCGAGAAAATCCATGGTCCACTGGCAGTTCCTGATCAAGAACACGCCGGCGTTGAGCCCCGTCCAACTGTGCGTCTCCACGACCAGGTGGGCCCAGCCGTGGACGACGAGGTTGTGGTTCTTGTACCGGTCCAAAGGGAGCTTGAACTCCATGTCGGTGAACAACGCATCCGAGTCAACCCACCAGATCCACTCGGCCTCCGGGTGGGCCACCACGGCGGCCCGGATTACGGGCAGCTTGGCCCAGTAGCTGCCCATCCGCGGGTGCAGCAGTGCGTTGTTGTAGAAGATTTCGTGCCCGTGGAGTCTACAGTAGTCCACCTTGTTCTTGAAGAACCGCAAGAGGAGATGATCGCCGATAGGATTGCGACACGCGGCCGGCTGAGATCCCGTCACCATCAGAATCCTCTCCCCTGCTCCGGCGGCGAGCGAGGGGTGAAGCAGCAGCCACTGCTGCCGCTTCTCGTCCCAGTTCTGAACCGGGTCCCCGAGCGTGTACCGGACTTCCCGGTCGTCGTAAAAGGTAGGGTCCGGCGGGTCGCGGCGTAGGTTAGCATCGTCGGCGCATTGATCGGGTTCGGCGGTGGGCGGCGGAGAAGTGACCGTACGGCCGAAATTGGGGGATGAATAAGTGCTTACGAAGGAGTAAAAAGTGAAGAGGACGAGGAGAGCGAGAAATGCACCGCTGAAGAAGAGCAAGCTATCGGCGAGCCAAGAAGAGGGCTTGGTTCTGGGAGAGGGTTTCGACATTGGAGGGAGCTCAGGCGAGAGCATTATAGCTGTGTGTGGCTGAGATTGGGTTCTCAACGGGGTCGTTTGGCGGCCATGGATGGATGGATGGATGGATGAAGTTTCTTTAAGCTTCTATTCTGGTCTCTCTGCAGGTGTGTAGATAGATATGCTTAGCAGAGGGTTTAAGTTTTTTAAGTGGGAACTTAAAGGGAGTGTGCACAGTCGGTTTTGAAGCGCAGAAGATGCTAAAGTGCGCCACAAGGCAGGCAGGCAGGAGAGAGGGCTTCAACGTGATCAACGGCAGTACGAGGGTCCCTTGTCTGGTCAAGTCTTGTTCAAGGTGACACCTGGATTATGTAATTATGAACCGACACTTTTGGGTTCGAAATTACAATTGGCGGTTTCACTTTCGTGACCAACACCAATGCTTACAGTTTTACACAGTATATGGCTGCGTTTTATCAGAGAGGTTGAGGGTATTATGGTCATTTTGAGGAGGCAGTAAGAGAACGTGGACCTTGTTTATAATCCCTCCAAAGTATATAGTCCAAAACTTAAAGGGAAGGAATTTGATATTACAATTAAGAGTGGCCAATAATCTCTGATTAGCATTTTACCCCTGAAATTAACTAATTGAAATCAATAAAAAAAAATAATAAAATCGCAATGACTTTATGATAATAATATGAATAATATTACAAATACAAGCTCATGGGTTGTTTAAATAGTAAACTCAAAACCTTAATAATAGGCAAATCCTAAAGTTCCATAATTATCCTAAACTTAACTAATAAGAACACAGTTTAAATCTTAATCTTAAAATCATATCGGGAAAATAATATCACAAATGGTAACTTTATTGAATAAAATATTTTCCTCACCAGAAACATATTCATTTAAATTTGCTCAAGCAATCCGAAAATTCAAACAATAAATAGTTTTTAACGCCATAATCAATATTTGAGTATAACTTTCATGCCTTGCTCGATTTCTTGCCAATTTTGAACCAAGTTATTTTCTTTATTTTTCTTTGTAGGAATTTACCCATATTTTATCCTACATTAGTTTATAATTGGTGGTAACAAATTGAACTACACATGTATTTTCAATAGTTCGTACACCATATCAACATGACGACATGGTTATCTATTTGGAAAATACAATGCTCGATTTATGGAAAGAGTTAGTTCTTATATGTCACATTGAAAAAATATTTCAATGGTGGTGGGCACGATGGCACCATCTATGTGGTAACCATTGAGTGGTTGATTAATTTTGGAGGTGTTATTAATTAAAATAATAATAATAAATATAAAAGCCCTTATATTTAAAAAGTTTGAATAATGGTGGTGGGCACGATGGCACCAAAATATTTGGTGTGTTGTTGAACTTCTTCCATGAGAATGAGACGGCACAGTATATCTATTTGAACCAAGTTATTTTCTTTATTTTTTATTTGTAGGAATTTATCTATATTTTGTCCCACATTAGTTTATAATTGGTTGGTTCAACTATGTATTGTAACAAATTGAACGACACATGTATTTTTAATAGTTCATACACCATATCAACAAGATGCCAAGGGAAAATACTATGCGCAATTTATGAAAAGAGTTGGTTCTTTCTGTCAGTCACAGTCACATTGAAGTTTGACACGTTGTTGAAAAATGTTTACATAACAGGTTATTTTTGTATATGTGCAAATCAGGAGGAGTGACTCTTTCGTCTTTCCATTGTTCCATCCATTCTACTAAAAAAAGAAAAAAAATCTCCCTAGAAAATGGTTAGCACATGGAAAATTCCCCAACTGGAAGAAGTCTCATAGATAAAATATAATGTTAAAAAATTAGAAAATAAATAATCTGCATTGGTATTTTAGCAAGCTAAACAGTAAAGCCTTACAATAACCATGTAAACAATGATAAACACAAAGAAGAGCAGATACGAGTGTCAGAAGATTCACAACTTAATGCCTTCCATATATGTAGTTTGTTTATACTTTGCCTCTCTAATCTAATGCCCTAATATTTTAATTCATTTTATTAACATAAACAACTCGTTCATCTATAAGCATATATAGGCCACCAAACTCATGTGTTTTTCTATTCACCAAGTTTTTGTTTTCTCTCTAATTTGGCAGCATTTCCAATTTGACAATATATTAGAGGCTTCGCGGGTCCACTCTACGGGTTCTAAGGATCATAAGTTAAAATAAAAATATTATGATTAGATTATAATATTTGAAGATTAACTCCTTACAACAGAAACGTATGACGAACTCAATTCCGGATGCACAAAACCATAATTCTTAAGCACTTGATTATCTGCATAATTCAAAGCCCTCTTCATCTCATTCCAACACGAATCGGCTGAATATTGTAGATTGTGCTCTCCGCTACACGGTTGGCAACCTGTAAAATGTGTTACGAAAGGTCTCCTCTCACGCCCCTTGAGATATTTTTCTCTCTTCGCATCATACCACTCATTCACTTTCTCTGCATGTCTCCTCTTTAAAACGCCCTCATTTCGCTCCATCTTAATATAACTCTCGGTCAGGGTATCGTATTTCCCAACTAAAGCTAACCAATAACCTTCCAAATTATACTCTCCTTCTAAATAAGTCTTGTCCCCCCACTTCTCCTTATTCGTAAAGAGTAAATAAATCAAAGACGATTGATCGTCCGAGACCGGAAATAACTTGTCTTTAAATACCGATGTTAAGATCTGGCCCCACCTCTCAAAATCCGGGCTCAATGGGCCCATCGAGGCCCATACATCAATCAAAGCCATGGACCATTGACAGTTTCGGATTAACAACACGCCGGCATTGAGCCCGGTCCAACTTTTGTTCTTATCCTGGTAAACCATATTGGGCCAACCATGGACCACAAAATTGTGGTCTTTGTACCGGCCCAGCGGAACCTTAAACTCCATGTCTGTGAACACGGCGTCAGAGTCCATCCACCAGATCCATTCGGCTTCCGGGTGGGCCAGCATCGCGGCCCGAATTATCGGTAGCTTGGCCCAATAAGAGTCCATCTTGGGATGCAAGTATGCGTCGTTGTAGAAAATGTCGTGGCCATGGAGACGACAATAGTCCACCTTGTTCTTGAAGAACCTCAGAAGGAGATGGTCGCCAATCGGGTTCTTACAAACGGACGGCTGCGATCCGGTGACAAGGAGGACCCGATCTCGTGACCCGGCGGTGAATGACGGGTGAAGGTCTAGCCAAACGCGCCGCTTCTGGTCCCAGTTATTGACCGGCTTCTCTACGAAATAGCTCAGTTCCGGGTCGTCGTAGAAGGTTTCATGGGGCGGGTCGGAATGGAGAAACGGAGCCTCCGCCCCGTAATCTGAGGCTTTTGCAGAAAAAGGGATGAAGCCAAAATGGCGTTTGTAATGGAAAAGGGTTAGGGACCAGAAACCAAAAAGGCCGAAGAAGAGGCCAGCGAGAAAACAAAACCCGTCTGCACAGGGTTTTGTTTGATGGGTCGTTTTCGCCATAAAAGTTGTTTGGGGGCTGAGAAAATTAGTGTGAGGGAAACTGGGCAAGACTTCTTTTTTAAGATAGAGAAATAGGGTTTGGGGATTTTCGATTTTGGGTGTGGCTTGGGAGGGAAGTGACACTTGCCTAAAATGAATTTATGTTTTGGAAGACGTTTATGGGAGACAGGGATTGTTTTCCTAAAAGCAATGGAGGCAAATATGGTGGGTAATTATTGCAATGTTATATGATTGATCTAATGTGTTTTACACTGTCATTTAGAGTAATTTGAGTGATTTTAAGACTATCAGAATGTTACTTTAAATTTGAAACTTCATCATGATAAGTAAAATATTGATTCATCACATAGAACATAATGCGCTAGGAGCCAAAAAATTTCTGTAGGGCATGAGGCTTTAACCCTATAATTTTACTTTAGAAAAAAATCAACAACATAGATTATCTCCTATACTAATTTCACTGCTAAACTTTTTAAGTTTATTAGGACAACTTTGTAGACATTGCATTTGCAATAAATTGATCATTTCATTTGTATCTTTAAAGATATACTGAAATCAGCTAAAAGATCAAATCAGTTAATTATATAATTAGATATGCATTTTTATCTTCAGAAACTTTCTCCACACACCCCCAAAAAGGAGGGAAATCTTTAAGTCTTGAGCTAATTGTGTGAATGTCCAAAGCTGCAGATTACATAAGTTATTACGAAATCGTTGCTTGTTATTTATCACCAACAACTTCATGCTTTTCATGCTTCTCATTTGCTTTTACAATTTTTCCTTTTCTACTTACTTGCACGATGACTCCACGGGCCACCAGGGAAAACGACACGCGTAAATGTTCTGTCTCTGTCCGTCTGACATAATGGCCCACAGGCCCAAGTATCAATTATTTTAAATTAACTGCTCGTGGTTATGTGAACAAGAAGCTTTCATAGCTCAGTTGGTTAGAGCACCCGTTTAGTAAGCGGGAGGTCTTGAGTTCAACTCTCAATGAAAGCAAATATTTTTCTTCTTTTTTTTTCCCATTTTCTGGGCTATCCTAATAAGCTTCAAAAGTTAGAAAGAAAAAATATTAAATTTAAAATACAAACTAGAGGGAAGCCGGCGTCTTTATTATATTGGATTTTGATACGAACATTACAACTTACAAGTTGTTCTACACACGTCCGGCTAAATACTCTAAGACAATTATTTTTTTCAATTTCTGACAAATAATATTTTTTTTTCTTTGGAACCAAGCACAACGTTTAACATTGTGCTTGAATTTACAGAGTGACAATGGGCAATCACATAACTACACTACACCAACTTCAGTCTTCAGCTACACAAAGAAGAACAACAAACAAAAGACCTCACCCACTAGTACACTAGAGGCCATCTCCCTAATTTACTAATTCAGCAACCTTCTAGATCGCGCCATTTGAGGTAAACAAGCCCCGCACGGTAATGAGTGTACGCGCCTGCCACTACTAATATGTGAAACAATTGGTGGCTGTGCCCTGCAATGTCGAATTTCCCAGGCATCCATCGTTCCGGAACCCTTGTGGCATAAACCAAGGCTCCAACCCCATAGAGGGCCCCCATTAGAATCTCATACCCAGTTGTGTGGAGTGCCTCAGGTTGATCAGAAAACAAGACAAGCTTGTGCATAACAGGTAAAATCCCAGACATGCCCATGCTTAAAAATAGAGATACACGAACAATACGATATTCAGGATTCTGAAAGACTGGTATGAGGGAAACCAATACTGTAGCAATTCCCAAGAGGGTTATAAATCCCATGTAGAGGTTGCAGAAGAAAGGGTTACACATGAAGGAGTAGTAGACAAGGGGGTAAAATGAGGTGGATATAAGGGCTGCAATTCCAGCATAGTCCAGTCTGAGCATGATATATGACATTCGCTCAGAATGGCAAGAGAGAAGATGGCATGCACTGCTGGACAACAAGCAAAACATGGCTCCTCCCAAGAAAGCAAAGAATGGCCATCGTGTGATTGGCCTCAGCATAAGTGGTGCTATTATGTTCGCTAAATCCTCCTTCATGCTACTCTGCAATATTCAGAACAACAAATAAAAAGAAAGCTATTAGCTGGATACATCTCCTAATAAACATTAACATTGACAATGGAAAGTAGATTTAATGGAAAGTGAACTCACACAATAAGATTGTGTGTGTTTGTGCGTCTGTGTTCAATTTAATACATTTGTTCAAGGGGCAATTGATTCATTGCAACTAGTGCTGTAGTACCATTAGTCGCATAAGAAAATTGTAAACTGCTCAACATTAAGAATGCATCCAGCACTAGATGTCAACCATTTAGGAAATAGGACGCAACTATCAATGCAGAGTATGCTCAACTTTCCCGCATGTCATCTTACATGGACAATTATACGATAATTTGAGTAGCCAAAATATAAAATTATTTCAACTATAAATAAGCCATTTGTTGCTCCTATTGGGTTGGAGAAGAAAGTAACAGTTAAATGTTCATTCAAGGATGCATGACCCTATTTAGCATAAGCTATTTGACAGAAAACCATGAAGAGGTAATTCAACTTCAAAAGTAATTCCAGGGGCACTATCACATGGGTTATATTATACGCATATGACAACTATAACAACAGTAGATCAATTGTTTGCAGAACCCAAAAAAGAAAAGAGATGATCCTGTTGATAATTAAGAAAATCAGGAGAAAAAGTGTCATTTCAGCACAGAGTGACATTGATGAGGACATCTTTGTCAAACCCATTAGAGTTTACAAACAAAAAAGATGGAAGAGTAAATGATTTAATTCGGTCTTCAAATCCTGCAATTTTGGAGCAATAGATGATTTCTGCGTTTTTAACTTGTTTTCTAAGTTTTCTGTACTTTGAGGATTCCTTGACATCAGACATTAGAGACCACTGAATGCAAGAAATTCCCATACAAACAGGTTCAGCTTAGAGAACATGATGGAAAACTCTAAACGCCTAAAAGATAATTAATAATATAACAAATAATATCAGCAATGTTATGATAAGTTAACATCATTCGTTCTAGGGCTAAAGAGTACCAGAACACAAACATCAGTTTGGTTGCCATGGGAGAATCGTTGAGGCAAACAATTATTCAGAAGTTCCATGACATGCCAACCAGAGAGTGACGGCAGCAGATCGATTGAAGGTAATGAAGTCTTCAACTCTTCTCTAAGTCTGTTCAGATCAGGCATGTTGGGTAAGGAAGGGAGGCATGTCATGAATTCTTCATGTAATTTATGCAAATCAGCTTTTTTCAGCACATCAGGAAAATGCTGTAGAGCATGAAGATCAACGACCTCTGGAAGCTTCACTGCAGTGTATATGGTCAGGGAGAGAAAAAGGAAGAACCCGATCAAATGCCTGTGAAAGTAATAATTTGTTAGAGAAATGAGATTGTCAAGTGCTGAAGTTTATGCCCTTTGAGTTCCTACATTTCAGTTACCAAAACGTTATGTGCATAAAAGTTAAAGACAACTAACAGGAGACCTCTGGAAAAAAAGACAAGGAGGCATACTTCTACATTAGTGAAACGCCGTAGGTTTGACAATGAAATATGGAAGACATTTTCAGCTAATTTGTTTTCGAACTAAAATGCCATACAGTCTAATCCACTTTAATAAACTTGAGAAGAAATAACAATATTTTAAACAGTTTTTACTTTCTCATTATAATTCACAAATGTAACTTCCATTAAATATTATATACTTCAAGGGGGAAAATATAGAAACTATTTGAATTAAGCACCAAATTAATAACTGTTATCTGAAGGCGACAGACCTATTAAACAAATTATAGGTACAAACAAAAGAATCATATAAAACCCATTTATGTATCGAAAAAATGACTCATATACAGGATAGGGGCCTTACGTCCAAACATTTAGCGTCTCATTGTGGATAGTAAACATACTAAGCAAGACCTGCTTCAACGGCCATTCGGACCGGTAATGGCCCAAAATGTACTCGTTGTCCCTTAAGTAGTTGGGTAAAGTGTGGTACTCAACCAGCTGATACTTCACCTTCTTCCACAGCCGCTTTCCTTTACCTTCCTTCAGTGAACATGCCTGATGGTCCTCCATTACTTCAGATGACAGTTTTGAATCTTCAAAATTCTGGATCTCACTGCCCATTTTCTGTTCAACCACAAGCACCCAATGTTACACTTACAAAAAGAAAAATGCTCTTTTTGGTTGCCAAAGTTGACCCCAAAAAAATGAAAATTATAAGATACCAAGAAATAAACCCAGATTCTAAAGCATTGATCTTTCATTGCATGGTAGACAAAAGATCCAATATTGCATCAAATTTTCCCTTTTTGAATTGAGCTTTCAACAATTGCAGATAGAACATAAAACCCAACAAAAAGAATTTATTCTTAATTTATTTTCCTTTTTCTTTTGCTGCATTTTCTTGGAAACCAAGCGGCATACAACATCAACAATCTAATAACAATCATTTGCATAATTGTGGGAAAGCAAAGCTCAACGAGAAAAACCCAGATGAGAAAACGTACCTGAAAATTGAAGAACCACCAGCTGAGAAAAATCAAAGCAGGCCCAGAAGAAGATTCTTCTGGCTCAGATGGGTTTTTAGTGTTTGCTTTATATAGTATATTCGAGCGGTGATAATCAGAAATGAAACAATTGTCGTTAGGAATAAATTCCAAAAATGAGTGTTTGGATTATGAGAAGCCAAGGAGTTTTGTCAATGACTGGGTTTTCTTGGGGATTGATAAAAACCCACAAGAGAAAACTGGACGTCGGTTGCTAAAATAGCTTGGAAATTGAGAGGAGAGATTCGTTTGGGGAGATGCGGAGATGCCTATGGACATTCCGTGATCAGGCAGAGAGACTTATATAAGTTTGGCACTTGTGGAGGAAAACGACTTGTCTTCTGAATAATGAAATATATTTTTTCAAGTGCTTAGTTAGACCACGGCAGCCTTCGAGATTTTATGGCATTTAAAAAAAAGTAAAAAAAGGATTTTTCAATGCCAACCACACGGGAAATTTATTAAATGAGCAAAACAAACAGACATTGGCACGTGTCGACATAATACACATTGGACAAATTGATATAAATTCTTAAATTAAAGGCAAAAAATAATTTAAAAATTACTAATCTAAAAATGAAAAATTAAATAAATAGAAAACTAGCAAAGTCTTGGACATATTCAAGACTTTCCGCCACTTTTTTCGACTTTTAGAGTTTTCATCACTATATGTGAGGTGAGCACTCTTTGAGGAGTTTTGAGGCGGTCTTGATTATATTTCTAAATCTTTTTTTAAAAAAAAGAAGAAGGCTAAAATCCTTAAACTCCTTAAAAGGAGTTTTAATCTTATGTCCATAATCCATAATTCTAAATTTTGAGTTAAAGATTTAAAATTTGGTGCCTTTAGTATTCCATTCCTTAGAACGAAACATCACCTATGTTGTCATCATAAAATTAAAATCTAAGGAATGGCAAGGGAAAGGGGGAAAACTTCCTCATTTCTTTGGGCATACAATTTCAGATAACCATAAGCAATGCTATGTCATTTTCAAGTGGAATTACCAAGCTTGAGAATAGGATCTTCTACTTATCCCCATCTACTAAAACAAGGAAACCAAGATTACCTAATAAAGAATGAAAAAACAAACAAAACAAAACTTGAAGATAGAGATTGAGAGAATGTAAAAACCAAGGTATATTTGATGGTTATTGGACTAGTCAATCTAAGGCCTAACCCAGATATCCTATGTAGGAAGCCGGACCCGCCCATTGTTGAACTTGGATGGCGCCCCTGCAACCCATTAAATTTGAACAAAGCCCATCCAGTTAATCTGCTAGGTCAAGAAGGATTTGTAATTGGGACTTCTTCTTGGGCTGTCTATATAAGGCTAGAGCCATAAGGGAATTTTCTGTTGCGGTCCTCTAAATACAGGGCTTTTGATGCGGGGCCAAATTCAGCTGGTAAGATCATCTGGAGGGTTTCATTTTGCCCATTAGAAAATCGCAACTGAAGTCCAAGCGTTTTGCCATGGGCCTTTGTGTTCACTGCTGGAAATGGCGTTGTAATTCCATTTTAAACCTGATTTATGAGCCTTTGTTAGTGAATGGCTTTGACATAAATAAGATGGTTAATTGTAAGCCAGCAAGAGAGGTCATCCAAGTTCATTGGAGTCTTCTTCTTGCTGGCAGATACAATTTGAATGTGGATGGCAGCTGCAAAACCAATTCTCGGAAGATCACTGCTGGCGGCTTGTTAAGGGACTCTACTTGGATTTGTGGTTTCTCTGCTAATATTGGAACTGGGAATATTGCGGAGGCTGAGTTATGGAGTCTTTTTAGAGTTGCAAACGGCTTGGGCAAAGGGAACTAGGTTCCTTGATGTTGAATGTGACTCTTTATCCTGTGTTTCTCCGATTACTAAGGCTTCTGAACAAGCTCACCCTTTTCTTTGCCTGATTGAACATTGCAAATAATCACTCACAACCAAATGGAATCAACAACTAGTGTGATTCTCTCAAATGATGATCTCCACCCAAACAAAGGAGAGAGCTTTCTCTCTTGAACCAAATGGTGGCTGCCAACAACAACTCTAAACTCTCGTAACCACATGTTGCAAATAAATCACTTTCATTAGTAATTATATTTTAATTATTTCTTTAGTGAATAATTAGTTTTAAATATTTAATTAACTTCATAAATTATATTACTTGATAAATAGTAATTATTATTATTTAGTTTATTTAAATAAATTATTTTCATACTAATTATTCGCTAAGTAAATAATAATTAAAACATAGTAGGCTTATGGAGGGTTTGAGGCTTGAGAAAGGTATTGGAACAAGTTCGAAAGCTAGGGTTTTTCGTTCGAGACTTGGATTTGCTCAAACTAATTTTGTATATAATAATTTATTACTATTTATTAAGTAATTTATTAAATTAGTAAAATATTTAAATATTCTCTAATGAATCAATAATTAAAACATTATTACTAATTAAAGGAATTTAAAAATACTAAGATATTACTTTATTACATATATTAAATTAAAGAAGTTTGCCACACAAAAAAAAGTAAAGAAACTAATTTTATATTCTGTTTAAAGGGTATAGCCGGGCGGCTATACTGCTAAAACATTCTACTTATAGAGTATAGCCGTTCGGCTTTAGTAATAAAATATCTATTATGGAGTATAGCCATTCGGCGTGACTGATAAAATTTCTATTTATGGGGTATAGCCCGCCGGCTTTACTCTTAAAATGTTTATTTAAAGAGTATAGCCGCGCGGCTATACTATAAAATTATCTATATTGGAGTATAGCCGACCGGCTGTACTTTCATTAGTAATTAACTAATATCTTAGCCTTATTTAATCACTTTCATTAGTAATTATATTTTAATTATTATTTCTTTAGTGAATAATTAGTTTTAAATATTTTAATTAACTTCATAAATTATATTACTTTATAAATAGTAATTAATTTGTTTATATTTTTTAAAATAAATTATTTTAATACTAATTATTCACTAAGTAAATAATAATTAAAAGATAGTGGGATTGTGGATAGGGTTCGAGGATTGAGAAAGGTTTTGGAACAAGTTCGGAAGCTGGGGTTTTTGGTTCAAGACTTGGATTTGCTCAAACTAATTGTGTATAAAATAATTAATTCATATTTATTAAGTAATTTATTAAATCAGTAAAATATTTAAATATTCTCTATAGAAACAATAATTACAACATAATCACTAATTAAAGGAATTAAAAAAGACTAAGATATTACTTAATTACATATATTAAATTAAAGAAGTTTGCCACACAAAAAAAAGTAAAGAAACTAATTTTATATTATGTTTAACCAGTATAGCCGGTTGGCTATACTGATAAAATATTATACTTATACAGTGTAGCCGTGAGGCGTTACTAATAAAATATCTATTTTGGCGTATAGCCGTACGGCTAGACCGACAAAATTTCTATTTATGGAGTCTAGCCGATTGGCTTTACATTTAAAATGTTTATTTAAATCATATAGCCGATCGGCTATATAGTAAAAATTATCTATATTGCAGTATAGCATCCCGGCTGTACTTTCATTAGTAATTAACTAATATCTTAGCCTTATTTAATCACTTTCATTAGTAATTATATTTTAATTATTATTTCTTTAGTGAATAATTAGTATTAAATATTTTAATTAATTTCATGAATTATATTA